CTCCTCTCCTCTGTTTCCCTTGTCTCTACTTTCATCTCTGCCATTTGGACTTGTGATGCATTACTGATGAATCAACAAATTACTTTCAACCAGGGAGCTAACAGAAATAACACAGTGTTTTACTCATTTGGGGCATTCCTTGGTCACCTGATACCATAGATGCCATTCTGGGTACTTACTGTTTGTTGATATGCTGATAAAATAAACCAAAGATTTCATTTCAAAGACAAAATAAAATTAAGATTGACATGGAAAATACATAGTATATATGAGGTCAGGGTAATAAAAGGTTAATTTGACATTTAGTGGATTAAAAAAAAGAGAGAACATGGAAGCTCTTGATGCCAATTATACCCTTCAGGTGTAGAGATTCAAAACAACTTTCTTTCCTTGGGACACACAGAGTTGGACTATAATGCCGTTTTACTGAATGTTATAAATAAACACATCTAAAAACAGCTTTGCATTTTGCTGTTTGCATGGAGGCTGACCACCTTCCTGCCCATGTATCTATAAGCTGGAATCATCTGAACTTGTCAATGAGAAGGTAACTAAACTATCACTGGCAGTCACGTGGGTTTGCTAAGGGTCTAGTCTAACACTATTAAATCTCATCTCTTGGGCACTCTGGAAAATTGAACTTTAAGGTATTGAAATGTATTTTATAGAAAGGTGAATTTTGCAACTCTACCACGATACATTTCCCTATAAAATGAATCTCTCTGAAACTTCCTTTGTACTGTTTAGACAGTTAATCTGACAGCTTGAACTGAGGCTTAAAAATAGCCATATTTTGTACCTATAATACTCCTTATGAAAATCTATCCTAAGGAAATAACCTTAGGATAGATTTTAAAAGATTAACAAGTAGGATGTTCATTACAAAATAATTATACAGGGAAAGAAAAGAAAATAATCCAAATGTCTAATATTAGATAAGTGGTTAAATATATAACGTTCATGTATTGTAAGCCTATGCTGTCATTAAAAATCATGTACATTTTTAAAAGTATGTATAATTCCAAGGAAAGTTCTATACAAAATTACTTTAACTAAGTTATCCAGACTTTTTAAAATGCACATATACAAATAGAAAATAAAAGACTGGTACATGATGACCACCATTAATATTTTGATATGCTTCTCCTTGATGGAACTCTGGGTTTTTTTCCATTTTAAAGAAATTTCCCCAATTTTCCTGATGACCTAGAGAATGATTGATTTAATTTTAAAAAGTCATTTGCCCGTTTTCTTGCTCACCCACCTTTCCTTTATGCCAGTACCTAACTTAAGAGCCATCTAAAAAAGGAAGTTGCAAAAATGATGAGGAATTAAAGGGAAGGCTAGCCTCTATTCACTCTGCAGCACATATTATTTTGATTTTTGCAGATACAATATCTTGACCCAAGGCAATCAAAAGCAAACAAATAAAAAAAGCAAACAAAATCAGTATTTCTAGGAGCATGATGACTTGCTGCATTTAAACTGTGGTTGGAGAACCGTTTCACATTTCAGGAATCATGGAAGCTTCAAACGAATGTCATTATCAGTGATGGCCTTTTAAAAGTGATGGGAAGAAAATAGTCCATTTAAAGTACAGAAGCAGCTTTGCAATGGCCCTACTGTGCAATCACAGGGGAAGGCACAAGCCTTGCGAGATATTTACACATTGTTGGAACCTGAGGTAGTCAAACCTGCCATCACAAAGCCACTGTCATTTATTATAGCATCCTGGTTCCGGGTACTCTGCTGAGCAGAAAGGAGCATTACAAGAAAACAAAGGGAAGGGGGCTTTGAAAGACTCAAATTAAAATCCGAGTTTAGAAAAGACTTCATTAACAAAATAGAAAAATTAAAGGTACTATGAGAGATTCCTGTGTCACTGGAATTCAGCTAGCTCAGACATCCTTAGTGGATTTCTAGCTAAATCCCCATAGCTCTAAGGACTTAATTAGAAATCCACTTTCTACCTGCCAGTAACTTCAAGTAGTGTTTGCTTTGTGAGCTGGGCAAGTAACTTAACCTTTCTGAGTCTCAGTTTGTTATCTCTAAAACGGGCATGATAATAGCACCTAAACTCGTGGGTGGCTAAGAGCAGGTAAATAATTTATCACAATATGTGCAATGTTTAAAAAGTAAAATAAGTATCAGTTCTCCTCATAGTCACTATTTTAGAGTATTCATGCACATTTGATCTCTCAAAAACATAAATGCTTGAAAATTAAGAGTAGTACATCTCTCCTTAATTGTAGCTGTACTTGAAGGAAAAACAGCTACCTTTACAGGCTGTTCAAGCTTTAAGATCTTATAAAATGATCTAATATCTATTTAATTATGACTGACAAGCCGCTACTAGATGCAGGAGGTTACATTGCACAAACGTTCCACTCTATGTGATGATGAATAGTAACCCCAGAGTCAAAGCTATTAGCTGAAGTTTTTCACCCAGTCTCAGCACAATTTTAACCACATGTGTTTGGTGTGTGTGTGTGTGTGTGTGTGCACGTGTGTGTAAGGCATGCATGAGTGTGTATATTTAACTTTCCTATCTTTACTAGCTTCTGTGGAGAGACTACACTGAAATAATAATGCTAATGACACAGTGATTTTTCTGAGGTTGGGCATTTCTCCAATGCTCTTCTGTTTCTTTCCTTCCCCTAGGGACAGGACATAGGTGGGTCTTAGCTTGCCAGAGATAATATGGAGAATGTCTGTTTTCTGGATTTTTACTTACTGTTGCTATTGGTAGCAACTTAGTATTGGGAGCAACTTTTTTGACTTTCTTCTCCTCCTAACCCATCTGTCACTCAATCCTGAGGCAAGCCACCCACGCCTGACTTTTTTTTGTCCTCCCAGGCAAGATGAAGTACTTCCATATCAGTGAATAGGTAGAAACAGTTTTCTGAACCATTCTGGTTGCCACTATCAAACGCCAGCTCAAATCACACAGGATATTAACCAGAGTAAGTCAAGGGGCCTTCGAGAAAGTCAGGATGAGGGGCTTCCCTGGTGGCGCAGTGGTCGAGAGTCCGCCCGCCGATGCAGGGCACGCGGGTTCGTGCTCCGGTCCGGGAAGATCCCACATGCCGCGGAGCGGCTGGGCCCGTGAGACATGGCCGCTGGGCCTGCGCGTCCGGAGCCTGTGCTCCGCCACGGGAGAGGCCACGATAGTGAGAGGCCCGCGTACCGGAAAAAAAAATAAGGTCAGGATGAGAATTTGTCTCTTACTGACTGCTACTTAGACATTCCTAAGCCACAGCGGCCCCAGGAAAGCTTCTCAGTTTGACTATAGAGGTTGCATGGGAAAAAAATATTTTGATAAAATCACCTGTTTGGATAGAGAAGGTTGGATAACCCTCTATTCACATAGTGGCACAAAAGCTTCGAATTTGTAGGAAGATGGTATAAATGAAGGTAGGAGAAAACAATGTGTGTGTGTGTGTGTGTGTGTGTGTGTGTGTGTGTATACATATATATATATATATATATGCATATATATACTCATTCATTAATTATTTGTGTAGGTATGTATTGCTCACCAGAACATTGCTTGCCCTACTCTCATTTATGGTATCTTCATACAAAGCAGAAAGCATTAGGTCACTATATTGCAGTGGACATGGGTGAAAGTGAACCCCGGGGCAGCCTCACTGCTACCACCACCACTACCACATGGTTCTTTGACTCCGTATTTCAGCCTCTCCCGTCTTCTCACAAAACGTTGACTTTTTTCTCTCTCCTTAATATGTTGAGATATGAACATTTTCATTGCTGTGTATAAGAAAATGAGATTCAAAGTGGGGAACCTAAGTGGTAAAAATATGCATTTTTAAATATTGGACTCAGTAAAGGTATCATTTTACAAGAGAGAAACGTATGGCTCTAAACCTGTTCCGTATGTGCGTTGCCTCTTATTGAAGACATGGGTGATTGACACGGAGCTAGAGAGCCCTCAGCATCTTTTCTTCATTGATATGGAATGATTCTGAGAGGCTGGCCCAAGAACCAGAAGTTAAGAATTTCTCTTTTTTTCTCTGCTTCCAGAACTGATAACAATCTAATAAATACAATTAGGAAGGTGAAACCCCTAAATCAGGATTTAGAAAACCAGAATGGCAGAAAGGACATCAATGATTACAAGAGAAAATTTCATAGCAAAAACATATGGCTAAATGAGAAAAGTAAAGCATACTTATCAACTCCAAGGAGAAGGAAATTGTGAGCAAAGTTTTTGAAAGCAAACTGCCATCCTGAATTTTATTGTTTAAAAAAAGCAAATCTTGATAAGTAGAATTACATTAGTTATGTGGGACAGCCAAAAGATGTGACTGGTTTAATAAAAAGAAGGGTTTCTTTACAGTGTATCTGCTTAGTCGGTGAATCCCCCCGTTTTTTACTCATTTGTTTATATTTGAAATTTCATAGCCAATCAGTGTGAACTTTGCTATTCTAATAGGACTTTTTTTCCAGAGTCATTAAGATCTCCATACAATTACTCTCCCTCTTTGATCCTAAACCCCATAGCCAGGAAAGCTTGTTTGTATTCTATTTAGAAAGTGGGCATTTAATTAGTGCCACTTCTGTAAACACACCGTGTTTAAACTGATCACACTTGTTACACCTCACCTCCAACTACACCTGTAGCAACTAAGTCACTCTTCCTCATCAGCTATCATTTATGTCTTATTAGCATCAAGAGGAAATGAAAAGAAGTCACACCCATTTAATTTCATCTCAGGACTTTTGAGTTTAGTTCCTGTACTGATGGTGCTTATTTGTAAAACAGGACATTATAAAAAGATGAGTGATTAAGTTATGTTATATAAGGTGATCAGAGCACATTGTTACAGTTTTCTATGTCATAAGCATATTTCAAGCATAATCCCTGGAAGAACTGCATTCAAACTCGGCGTCACATCATGTTGTGTTGTTGTATCGTTTCTTGGAGGAGATTACTAAGATTTTCCCCCTCTTTTTTCTTTTCTAAATATTCCTGGCAGGTACTAAGCACAAAACGATGCTAGAAGCTCGGAACGGCAGTGGGACTATCAAAGCCTTCCCTAGGGTAGGTGTGAAAGGCAAAGGACCAGTGAATAAGGGGAATACAGGCCTGCAGAACAAAACGTTTCACTGTGAAATCTGTGATGTGCACGTCAACTCGGAAACACAGCTTAAACAGGTAGGCGGTACCCATTCTAGAAGTGAAAACAGAAGGGGGTCACGCACGAGCAGACTGTGTGCTTCCTCTGTTCCCTTTCTTTTCTGTTTTTCTCTCCCATCCAACCATCCATCCATCCATCCATCCATCCATCCGTCCATCCGTCCATCCATCCATCCACTTAGCTTCTTATTCACTCTCCTTATTTATTTATGCATATTTTGGTTGGTTAAAGGAATACTAAAATGTAATGCCTTCTAAGATCTTTCCGAAATTGCCTGAAGTGAGTCTGTGCTATTTTTGTATATGAAGAGTGGGAGGAAAGGGGGTAGTAGATCTTTTCTTTACCAGGTTTCCCACTCAAAAGTGTTGATTTCCTTTAAAGGTCAAATTTCAATGTTCCATTTTTACTTGTTTAGATATTTACATGCTACCACTAATTTTATGCTGTGCTCTTCTTTTATTTTATGTACTCTATTACATGGTGGTGTACTGTATTTCTAAATCCTGCAGCCACCTGCTAACAAGATGACTAATCCTTGTTGCATTCACTTTTACTCTGAATAGCCTTCCAAAGAGATCAGTTCTACGTTTCTAGTTGAAGTCCCAGCCCTCATATAGTGTTGTGTTTTATATGCATATGTACATTCTTGCACTGATTTTTACACACCTTAGTTATTTATCTTTAGAATTTAAGGGGTTGACATTTGGCTGTACAAATGTGAGGATAAATATTAGTATGGAAATAAATTCATGCCCGCCTGGCCATCTTTGTTTATTTGCACATAAAATTCCTTCAGACATTTATTTCCTTTGTAAATGTCCATAAAACGAGATCTGTGCAGTAATAAGGAAAAATGCTGGGAAAAAGAAGACCCTGTTATTTGTTTAAAATAGACTAAAACGGCTAGCACAAAGGTATCTCTCCTCAAAGCATCAGCGTCTGAGGACAAAAGTGCACGCTCTTGTATTTTTGTCTTTCTTCAACTTGCATGAAATAATTAATATCCTGCCCCAGGTTAAAACAATATTTATGAAGGGTTTGGGGGATAATTTTTTTAAAGCTGTCATTTTTAATTGCTTTTAATAGCATATTAGCAGTAGAAGGCACAAAGACAGAGCTGCTGGGAAGCCCCCGAAACCTAAATACAGTCCTTACAACAAACTGCAGAAGGCAGCACATCCGCTGGGGGTGAGTGTCCTTTTTGCATCCCAATAGAGAGTAGCCTTTCTTTCTTTTTTTTTATTTAATAAATTTATTTATTTGTTTATATTTTATTTTTGGCTGCATTGGGTCTTCGTTGCTGCACACAGGCTTTCTCTAGTTGTGGTGAGCGGGGGCTACTCTTGGTTGTGGAGCGTGGGCTTCTCACTGCAGTGGCTTCTCTTGTTGTGGAGCATGGGCTCTAGGTGCCCGGGCTTCAGTAGTTGTGGCACACAGGCTCAGTAGTTGTGGCACACGGGCTTCATTGCTCCGTGGCATGTGGGATCTTCCCGGACCAGGGCTCGAAACCGTGTCACCTGCATTGGCAGGAGGATCCTTAGCCACTGTACCACTAGGGAAGCGTGAGAATAGCCTTTCATGTCCTGCAGTCTACTCACTGAACTTGGATTTTTTTTTGTCAGTTACTAAATGAAATAAATGGAAGATACCTAAGTAAAGACAAACAATTGATTTGAAAGTCCAACTCCTACTCCACCAACAGAATCATTGGTTTCATGAGTTGTTTGAGTGTTTTGTCACCATTAGCCAAAGTCCGACGTCTTATCTTTTTAGTTGGGCACAGGTTTACAGCAGAGCATGGGGATGGGAGGAAAACCAAACTCTTTTGTGTCAGGTAGGTAATCGCATGAAATCTGGACTTGAGGTTAGTGGATACTATTAGGAAAAGGTCGGTGAAAACAAATTCTTGCATCTCCTTTTTAAGGTCTTCAGGAGACAAAGCACCAGTATTGTTGATTCCCTCAACAGTTTTGTCTTTTGAATAACACACTCTCAAAGACATGGCTCCTTTTAAAAATTATTCACCTAAGGACACTATCTAAGGCCTGGGAAATATTTCCTGAGACATGCCCTCTTGTTTTAGATTAGTAAACATATTAGTACTGATGTCCTGACCTAGAATTTTTGTAGGATTTTAGGGGAAGTCTGTAAACCTCCTGACATCTTAAGCTAATATTTATAAGCATATGCTTTTGTTCTGGTTGAAATGACAATAGCTTACATCTAAGAGACCCAGGGCTCTGCATTGTTTAGCTGTAATAAACCATAACTGTGTGCATAAAAAAATTAAGATGAAGAACAATTGATCTACAGTATGTGCTGAATTATGCATTTTGAAATCTGTTTTCTTCAAAATAGATCTTATTAATAATCAGTGCTACTGTGTGCTGCTGACACGTGAAAATACAGTTAAAGGAAAGCTGTAGTCATCCATTTTGAGACCTCAGAATGAGTTGACCCAATTAACTTAGTAGCATCACCCATTTTTATGCAAATGAAGTCATCTTACTCTCTTGCATAGAATCAATTTTAGCTGCATTGAGTGGCTGTGAATTCTGCATGGAACTGATGTTTCAGCACCACTAGTCATAACCTGAGTGCTCTTTCTGACCTACGTAGATGAAGCTTTCAACAATCAAGTGAATGGTTCTTAAATAAACAGAGAAGTCAAATTGTGTTAATGTTAGTTTCCAAACCTCCTGTTTAACTGTCACTGTTACTATTTCCATAAATGGGGCCATTCCCTTCCTGAGAACAGCCATCTTACTAATGCTACTAGTCAGAGAATGAACTGATTTTATATAGTAGGTTTGAGAGAATGTTGCTACCAATGAAAGCAAAACACGTCAAACTTTTAGGGAAGATAAGTTTTCTTTGCTTCTTTATTGAAAGTGGAATTTCATTATTTTTATAATGTCTCTTGATTGGTACTCACATCTTACTAGGATACTCACTTGACATACTTGCATAGTCTAATAGTAGCTGACAGCATTAATTAATCTCTCTTTAAAAATGTCTATACCCTGCTAGTTAAAATGTGTGTAAAGAGTGCAGTAAAAAATTCCCTGTTTTTCCTCAAGATGAATACTTTCCTCACGAGGTATATTTATCACAAAAATAAAATAGAGAGCTGGAACTCCTGGCTTGGGGTCTCTTCCCTCCGCCATCACTAAACTGCCCTGGAGCCCAAAGGGAGGGTGGCCTCATTGAGGCTGCCAGCTCTGGAGGGGCCCCAGCAGCCAAAGCTGCAGCGGTCCTGGGGACCATGGGCCGGATCACTCATCCTGGAGTAAGCCAGCTGCCATGTCATGAGGACACTCAAGCAGCCCTAAGGAGAGATCCATGTAGCAATGAACTGAGGCCTCCTACCTAGAGCCACATGACCGTGTAGATGACAGGCTTTTGGCACTCCAGCCAGGCATGAGGGCTGTACCTCTTGAGGTGGGAGAGCCAAGTTCAGGACAGTGGTCCACAAGAGACCTCCCAGCTCCACATAATATTAAATGATGAAAATCTCCCAGAGATCTCCATCTCAACACCAAGACCCAGCTCCACTCAACGACCAGCAAGCTACAGTGCTGGACACCCTATGCCAAACAACTAGCAAGACAGGAACACAAACCCATCCTTTAGCACAGAGGCTGTCTAAAATCATAAAAAAGCCACAGACACCCCAAGACACACCACCAGACATGGACCTGCCCACCAGAAAGACAAGATCCAGCCTTATCCACCAGAACACAGGCACTAGTCCCCTCCACCAGGAAGCCAACACAACCCACTGAACCAATCTTAGCCACTGGGGACAGACACCAAAAACAATGGGAACTAGGAACCTGCAACCTGCAAAAAGGAGACCCCCAAACACAGTAAGATAAGCAGAATGAGAAGACAGAAAAACACACAGAAGACAAAGGAGCAACATAAAAACCCACCAGACCTAACAAAAGAAGAGGAAATAGGCAGTCTACCTGAAAAAGAATTCAGAATAATGATAGTAAAGATGATCCAAAATCTTGGAAATAGAATGGACAAAATACAAGAAATGTTTAACAAGGACTTAGGAGAACTAAAGAGCAAACAAACAGTGATGAACAACACAATAAATGAAATTAAAAATTCTCTAGAAGGGATCAATAGCAGAATAACTGTGGCAGAAGAACAGATAAGTGACCTGGAAGATAAAATAGTGGAAATGACTACTGCAGAGCAGAATAAAGAAAAAAGAATGAAGAGAATTGAGGACAGTCTCAGAGACATCTGGAACAACATTAAATGCACCAACATTCAAATTATAGGGCTCTCAGAAGAAGAAGAGAAAAAGAAAGGGACTGAGAAAATATTTCAAGAGATTATAGTAGAAAACTTCCCTAATATGGGAAAGGAAATAGTTAGTCAAGTCTAGAAAGTGCAGAGAGTCCCATACAGGATAAATCCAAGGAGAAACATGCCAAGACACATATTAATCAAACTATCAAAAATTAAATACAAAGAAAAAATATTAAAAGCAGCAAGGGAAAAACATCAAATAACACACAAGGGAATTCCCATAAGGTGAACAGCTGATCTTTCAGCAGAAACTCTGCAAGCCAGAAGGGACTGGCAGGACATATTTAAAGTGACGAAAGGGGAAAACCTACAATCAAGATTACTCTGCCCAGCAAGGACCTCATGCAGATTTGACTGAGAAATTGAAACCTTAACAGACAAGCAAAGCTAAGAGAATTCAGCATCACCAAACCAGCTTTACAACAAATGCTAAAGGAACTTCTCTAAACAGAAAACACAAGAGAAGTAAAAGACCTACAATAACAAACCCAAAACAATTAAGAAAATGGTAATAGGAACATACATATCAATAATTACCTTAAATGTAAATGGATTAATTACTCCCACCAAAAGACATAGAATGGCTAAATGGATACAAAAACAAGACCAGTATATATGCTGTCTACAAGTGGGGACCCACCTCAGACCTAAGGACACATACAGACTGAAAGTGAGGGGATGGAAAAAGATATTCCATGCAAATGGAAATCAAAAGAAAACTGGAGTAGAAATTCTCATATCAGACAAAATAGACTTTAAAACAAAGATATTATGAGAGACAAAGAAGGACATTACATAATGATCAAGGGATCAATCCAAGAAGAAGATATAACAATTGTAAATATTTCTGCACCCATCATAGTAGGGGACACACAATCATAGTAGGGGACTTTAACACCCCACTTTCACCATTGGACAGATCATCCAAAATGAAATTAAATGAGGAAACAGAAGCTTTAAATGATGCATTAAACAAGATGGACTTAATTGATATTTATAGGACATTCCATACAAAAACAACACAATACACTTTCTTCTCAAGTGCTCATGGAACATTCTTCCGGGTAGATCATATTTTGGGTCACAAATCAAGCCTTGGTAAATTTAAGAAAATTGAAATCATATCAAGTATCTTTTATGACAACAATGCTATGAGACTAGATATCAATTACAGGAAAAAAGCTGTAAAAAATAAAACCACATGGAGGCTAAACAATACACTACTTAATAACCAAGAGATCAGTGAAGAAATCAAAGAGGAAATCAAAAAAACCTAGAAACAAATGACAGTGAAACACAATGATCCATAACCTATGGGATGCAGCAAAAGCAGTTCTAAGAGGGAAGTTTATAGCAATACAATCCTACCTTAAGAAACAAGAAATATCTCAAATAAACAACCTAACCTTACACCTAAAGCAATTAAAGAAAGAAGAACAAAAAAACTCCCAAAGTTAGCAGAAGGAAAGATATCATAAAAATCTGATCAGACATAAATGAAAAAGAAATGAAGGAAACTGTAGCAAAGATCAATAAAACTAAAAGCTGGTTCTTTGAGAAGATAAACAAAAATGATAAACCATTAGCCAGACTCATCAAGAAAAAAAAGGGAGAAGACTCAAATCAATGGAATTAGAAATGAAAAAAGGAGAAGTAACAATTGACACTGCAGAAATACAAAGGATCATGAGAGATTACTTCAAGCACCTATATGCCAATAAAATGGACAACCTGGAAGAAACGGACAAATTCGTAGAAATGCACAACCTTCCGAGATTGAACCAGGAGGAAATACAAAATATGAACAGACCAATCACAAGCACTGAAATTGAAACTGTGATTAAAAATCTTCCAAAAAAAACAAAAGCCCAGGACCAGATGGCTTCACAGGCGAATTCTATCAAACGTTTAGAGAAGAGCTAACACCTATCCTTCTCAAACTTTTCCAAAATATAGCCAACGGACGAATGCTCCCAAACTCATTCTACGAGGCCACCATCACCCTGATACCAAAACCAGACAAAATGTCACAAAGAAAGAAATTTATAGGCCAGTATCACTGGCGAACATAGACGCAAAAATCCTCAACAAAATACTAGCAAACAGAATTCAAGAGCACATTAAAAGAATCATACAACATGATCAAGTGGGGTTTATCCCAGGAATGCAAGGATTCTTCAATATATGCAAATCAATCAATGTGATACACCTTATTAACAAATTGAAGGAGAAAAACCATATGATCAACTCAATAGATGAAGAGAAAATTTTCGACAAAATTCAACACCCATTTATGATAAAAAAATCTCCAGAAAGTAGGCTTAGAGGGAACTTTCCTCAACATAATAATGGCCATATATGACAAACCCACAGCCAACATTGTCCTCAATGGTGAAAAACTGAAACCATTTCCACTAAGATCAGGAACAAGACAAGGTTGCCCACTCTCACCACTGTTATTCAACATACATTTGGAAGTTTTAGCCACAGCAATCAGTGAAGAAAAAGATATAAAAGGAATCCAAATCGGAAAGGAAGAAGTAAAGCTGTCATTGTGTGCAGATGACATGACACTATACATAGAGAATCCTAAAGATGCTACCAGAAAACTACTAGAGCTAATCAATGAATTTGGTAAAGTAGCAGGATACAAAATTAGTGCACAGAAATCTCTGGCATTCTTATACACTAATGATGAAAAATCGGAAAGTGAAATTAAGAAAACACTCCCATTTACCATTGCAACAAAAAGAATAAAATATCTAGGAATAAACCTACCTAAGGAGAAAAAAGATGGGGAGATATACCATGTCCTTGGATTGGAAGAATCAACATTATGAAAATGACTTTACTACCGAAAGCAATCTACAGATTTAATGCAATCCCTATCAAACTACCACTGGCATTTTTCACAGAACTAGAACAAAAAAATTCACAATTTGCATGGAAAAACAAAAGACCCCGAATAGTGAAAGCAATCTTGAGAAAGAAAAACGGAGCTGGAGGAATCAGGCTCCCTGACTTCAGACTATACTACAAAGCTACAGTAATCAAGACAGTATGGTACTGGCACAAAAACAGAAATATAGATCAATGGAACAGGATAGAAAGACCAGAGATAAACCCATGCACATATGGACACCTTATCTTTGATAAAGGAGGCAAGAATATACAGTGGAGAAAGGACAGCCTCTTCAATAAGTGGTGCTGGGAAAACTGGACAGCTACATGTAAAATAATGAAATTAGAACATTCCCTAACACCATACACAAAAATTAACTCAAAATGGATTAAATGCCTAAATGTAAGGCCAGACACTATCAAACTCTTAGAGGAAAACGTAGGCAGAACACTCTAGGACATAAATCACAGCAAGATCCTTTTTGACCCACCTTCTAGAGAAATGGAAATAAAAATATACAAATGGAACCTAATGAAACTTAAAAGCTTTTGCACAACAAAGGAAACCATAAACAAAACGAAAAGGCAACCCTCAGAATGGGAGAAAATATTTGCAAATGAAGCAATTTACAAAGGATTATTCTCCAGAATTTACAAACAGCTCATGCAGCTCAAGATCAAAAAAACAAACACCCCAATCCAAAAATGTGGAGAAGACGTAAATAGACATTTCTCCAAAGAAGATATTCAGATTGCCAACAAACACATGAAAGAATGCTCAATATCATTTATCATTAGAGAACTGCAAATCAAAACTACAATGAGGTATCACCTCACACCTTTCAGAATGGCCATCATCAAAAAATCTACAAACAATAAATGCTGGAGAGGATGTTGAGAAAAGGGAACCCTGTTGCACTGTTGGTGGGAATGTAAATTAATACAGCCACTATGGAGAACAGTATGGAGGTTTCTTAAAAAATTTAAAATGGAACTACCATATGACCCAGCAATCCCACTACTGGGCATATACCCTGAGAAAACCATAATTCAAAAAGAGTCATGTACCACAATGTTCATTGCAGCTCTATTTACAATAGCCAGGACATGGAAGCAGCCTAAGTGTCCATCAACAGGTGAATGGATAAAGAAGATATGGCACATATATACAATGGAATATTACTCAGCCATAAGAATAAACGAAATTGAATTATTTGTAGTGAGGTGGATAGACCTAGAGTCTGTCATACAGAGTGAAGTAAGTCAGAAAGAGAAAAACAAATACCGTATGCTAACACATATATATGGAATCTAAAAAAAAAAAAAAAGGTCATGAAGGACCTAGGGGCAAGACGGGAATAAAGAGGCAGATTTACTAGAGAATGGACTTGAATATAGGGGGAGGGGGAAGGGTAAGCTGGACAAAGTGAGAGAGTGGCATGGACATATATACACTACCAAACGTAAAATAGATAGCTAGTGGGAAGCAGCCGCATAGCACGGGGAGATCAGCCCGGTGCTTTGTGACCACCTAGAGGGGTGGGACAGGGAGGGTGGGAGGGAGGGAGACGCAAGAGGGAAGAGATATGGGGACCTATGAATATGTATAACTGATTCACTTTGTTATAAAGCAGAAAGTAACACACCATTGTAAAGCAATTATACTCCAATAAAGTTGTTAAAAAAATAAAATAAAGTACTTTCCTGGAGGACTTTGTAACATCATAGGTCAAGCCATTTTCCGGGATCTTCCAATTTTCCCAAAAGGAAAGATGTTCTACCCTTTACATTATTTTTTAAAATTTATTTTATTGAAATACAGTTGATTTACAATGGTGTGTTAATTTCTGCTGTAAAGCAAAGTGATTCAGTTATATATATATATATTCTTTTTCATGTTCTTTTCCATTTTGGTTTATCTCAGGATATTGAATATAGGTTCCCCACTTTGCGTGATTTTTATCATCAGTTCCCTGGTGTGAGTTTATCTTTGTAGTTGTTGACTGCTGTATTTTAAAAGCTGCTCACCCTTTTGGATTCTCATTGTAGACTCTAAGACTTTTGTTCATCTACTCTTTTTTTTCCCCCCTACCTTGCAGGTAAAATTAGTATTTTCAAAAGAACCTTCAAAGCCTTTGGCTCCACGAATTCTACCAAACCCTCTGGCAGCTGCAGCGGCTGCTGCGGCTGTGGCAGTGAATTCCCCCTTCAGCCTCCGAACTGCTCCAGCAGCCACACTGTTCCAGACTTCTGCAGTCCCTCCAGCCCTCCTGCGGCCAGCTCCTGGACCCATTCGGACCGCCCACACTCCTGTGTTGTTTGCTCCTTACTGAATTCCAAATGGGAGTAACTGTACTGCAATAATTTTTCAAAAAACACAAAACAAAAAGAGAACTATGCAGTGTTTATTTATAGTTTAAAGTATACCTGAAGAGCCAGGACTTTTGATAGTGAATTGAAAAGATTATTAAAAAAAAAAAAAAAAAAAAGGGGGGAGGTTTAGGGGTGGGAGGGAGGGGTGGTATTTTCTCCAAATTAAAGCATTCCTCTTGAACATTGAGTGTTTTAGAAGTGATCTCCAGCATTGACTTGTAGTGGTATCTAGAACTTCTGAAGCCTTTGTGACTGTGCTTTTGGGCACTTGTTTCCCCCTGCATTGTCTTTCCTGCTTTATGAGACAGCTATACATTGTCTAAGGGCATTAACTGGTTCCAATGTATATATAATAATTTACTCTGTAGATTAAAATAATACAAAAAAAAAAGAAAAAGAAAAAGAAAAAAATCACAAAAAACAAAAGCAACACTGTGAATAGTAGTACCCGTGCTGTTCCTCTTGCTATGACAGCAATTCCTGGGTATTTATCCCAACAAAAGTAGATACAGTAGATGTCTTGTAAAAACAATAGTGCTGTGTCTCAATCTATGCCACTAGGTTTTCAAGAATTGCAAAAGGTAGAACGAACAACTATTTCATGCCTGTAAGCAGTCAAAAACTAAACACCACTGGATGGTGTGGGGAAGGTCCCTGGTTCACATTCTCCCATCCTACCCAGCTTGGAGATGACTTTAAGTTCAGAATAAAAGAACAGGGCTAAGCATAGAGGTGGGAGAGATTAATAAAAATGGTTTCTTACAAAGTACTTTTCCCTCCCTCTGGAACAGTGTTGCTGGAAATAGGAAGTGTTTGTAAAGCACCTATATCTGAAAACAGGTAAACCCGTGCATCATAGGTGTTCAGAAAGAAATCAGTATAACAATTCTGTTTCAGGGATAATGGATGATCCTAACCTAGCATGATAATGCAAAGTAAAGATTTTTCTTAGTGCATATCCAATAAAAACAAAGAATATTGCATCTCTGCAATATCCCCTTTATATCAAACCAGTAGGGTTGTCTCTTCAGCAAAGGTTTCTGCTTTGACTATGATGGTAGACATTAGCTATTGTTGTGGGGGGTTTTGTTGTTTTTTTAGATTTCCTACTGACATGATATAAACAATTAATATATATTTAAATATTAGTAAAACAAGAAAAATGAATCTGCATTAATTTCAGACCAAGGATGTAGAGTTAAAAAAATATTGGTAAGATGCATTTGACCATCATTTCTCTAGTGGAGTTCTGAAACACTGACAGCCTTCAATATTCACCATAAGGCTGAAAGGAGTTGATGTTTTACCTTTAAAACAAGATTTTTCAGGGGTATATATAAATATATGTATATTGTATATATGTTAGAAAGATTAAGAGAATAACTTATAAAAAGAAAATCTATATAAATTATATAACCATCCCGTGTTACATGTTATCATTAAGTTGGTAACAGATGGCATAAAAATAGCTGTGCCTTTAATTTGTGATAAAGGCTATTTGCTTTTTCCCATAGAAAGCTAACATATCCTATCATTATGATGGGGTTTGATGCAGCCAGTCTGTTGCATTAATAAGAATAATGACGCTCAAACTTAGAACAATGAAAACATGTACAAATCCACCCTACCAGATTTAGGTTTAGAGGAAAAAAAAATATTTTTGAAAGGTTTTGTAAAGACTATTTAAAAATATAGGGAAAGGCTGCGTATGGCCTTCCTGAAACTGCTCTTATCTAAACTGTAGTAGACTTTTGAGAGGTCTAAAGACTCAAGGTGAAGCGATTTGAGAGATGGGTATTTAGTATTTGTCATTTTATATTTAAGAAACACCCATAACGTGCTTGGTGCTCAACGTTAAACATGGTCTTTGGAGTTCTTCTCCACCATCTAGCTAAAGACATTTGTCATATAAATATATCTTTAAAGCAGTTGACTTTATAGAACTTTTGTTAAACAACCAACCAAAAGAAAAAAGGAAGGAAGGAAGGGAGGAAGAAAGGAAGGAAAAGAAAAGAAAAAGTATTCCATCAGTCTTTGGTAAGAGGAATTTCAAACCATACATCTTCTCCCTGAACATGTTGGTTACAATTGAAATTTGTTTTTGAAAGTATCTGGTGATATTGCATCTGCCAGTATCTCTACTTTCTGGTGTTAGTAAGTGTTTCCTTTTTCCACCCTCAGACCCTGCTAGTTCAGCCAGGGAGAGAGTTAGCTCATGAATTCTGTTGTTTGGGGCTTGTCTATATCCTGTGTGACCAGCTTCTGACCGTTTTGAACTTCAGTTTCCTCTTTCTGCTTTGTCGAATATTTTCATCGTTCACTATGTCAGCCTGAATCCCTATCCAACTACATTTACACCTCTAAAAACCTCTCTTTCTGTTGGAGAACTTAGTGTCAATTGATGAAATCTTAATACAATGTACTTTTGCTGTTCTTCCCCATTTTCACCAGAGTGAAAGAGCCAGTCCACTAGAAGTCAGGGCCGGTGGGATACAAGAGTCCTGGATCACAAGGCGTTACTAACTTTAATGATTTGCTGGGAAACAAACAAATCAGCCATATTTTCTCCATCAGCCATAGGAGAAACCTCAGAAATACCTAAACCCCTTCTGCCTCACTTCACTATGGAACCATTTTTGTTTAAATGGTCTCTAAAATTGGAGTTGTAATTATCAGTTGTCTTTTACTCACTACCTAATAAAGGATGAAGCCTAACCATGGAACTTATGGTGGATTCTCTGTGAATTGGTTCCCAACCTTCCATGTATTTATTAACACCAGATCCATATCTACCATTGTTCAGACTGCTATAAAGCTCTACCCTTTCCCTTAGGGAACTTCTTTTCATGAATGAAGATCAGTAATTCCGATTGATCAGCAGTGGTGCTCTGAACATCCCTGAGGGGGGGTCTGACTTTATGGTTATACGTTCCTTCCCATGCATCATACCCATGGCAGGGATGGGATAGATAAAGCCTCTCCGATTTCATTTGCAACAAATATAAATGCATTGCAAGAGTCAAATGCCTCTGGAAAAAGCATTCTTGCACCTCATCCAGATTACCCAGACAACTGGAAACAGTCTTTGGGAAGGCACTGTATTTCTCTTCCGAGAAAACAGGTGATTACAAGTGACAAATCGCTCCTCTCACTGCTCCTGAACTTTGAAGAGTGGCTGTTGTGTACACCTGAGCACAGTTGTGTATGCAGTTGGCTTTGGGCAATTTATGTCATCACTGCCTCATCTCAAATGATGCAATCTTCAGGTACCGTTGGGTTTCCGTTCCTCTCTTGCAATAATTCATTGCCATTAACATCAGAGATATAATTTGGTTTTTTGAAAGGTGCTACATATTTTGCTGCCAAGGAACTATTTAGCCAAGAGAGCATTTATGCTCATTTGGAAATTCAAAGAGCACGAAATCCCAACACAAAGGAGTAAAAATGAAAAGGTTTTAAAAAAGGATTATTCAGAGTTTATTGTGGATGTGCTCATGTATGTTTTTAAGGTACAGAACCACCCCGCAGTAGAGATGGGCATTAAATTTCACTTACAATTAATAGCTTAAATTAATATCTTTGTCTCCACACCCATGGAATGTTTCAACTTTCCTGAAGAAATCAGACCATAAAGCTAAAAAATGACTCTGGCATAGAGACCTCTTCCTTCAAATCTGAATTGATCTATAGAACTAAGCTACCTTTCTGTACATTTGCATGGATGACATTGTATTAACGTCTCTTTGTACGCAGGAAAGCATCTTAATGTGGTGAGGAAAACAATGAGCCTGAAAGAAATCAGAGCCTATTGTAGACTTTGTCCCTGCCTAGCAGGGTAACATTTAAATAGCCAAGGAATGCTTTGTCCTTACTCACTTCATCAGCAGTGTGGGTGAGAGTGAGTAAAGGCTAAACTGGTTACCTATTTTTGCATTAAAAAAACACTTTTCTCTCCCTCGAAGAAGTGCTTTCTTATTGTGAACCACACAGCTACTCAAATATTTGCATTTTCTCAGAAAAGTGTTCTGTATTCTTTTCCCTCCTAAGGATACATCACAAGGCAGTAGGTCATTCATCTGATCAGTCAGATGTAGACCTCACCAACAGTTATCAGAAGAGTTGCTAATTCACATTGGATTTATAACAAAGTCGTTTAGGATATATACCACATCTGTTTTCTCAGTCCAAAACGTAATACACTAAGTCCCCTACATATGGACCTGTTGCATTCCGAGAGCACGTTCGTAAGTCCAATTTGTTCATAAGTCCAACAAAGTTAGCCTAGGTACCCAACAAACACAATCGGCTATATAGTACTGTACTGCAATGGGCTTATAATACTTTTCACACAAATAATATGGTGCTTCCGGACATCCTGGGCTTGAAACAAAGATACTGTACTACAGTACTCTATACAGTACTGTACAGTAAAGTACACAAAGGCACAACCACTTGTAGAGGAGGTGCACCCATGACAGTGTACACCAGACATGTGAACTAACATGTGATTGAACATACAAACACACGCTCACATCTCTGAAAGTTCATAACTTGAAGATTCATATGTAGGGGGCTTACTGTAAATTCTAAATAAAACCAACCCATATAAAAGCAAGAGAATATTGACAGTGTGGGTGTGAAGGGGGCAACAGGTATTTGAATGTCTCACCCTCGTTCTTTTTGTTGTGTAATCTCCCTTCAGTAGAAAGGGACCCCCACCTGAGCCATTGCTAATCCAGTCCTGGGTTTGCATGTGTTTTAGCTAATGACCACCTTATTCAGATCACTTCTTCCACAGCCAAAGGATATCAGTTATGCCCTCTTGTTATTGATATAGCAAGAATTTTTTTGGACTTAGTCCTGACAGTGAATATTTTACAAACTGATTGCTGTTGGTTTTCATTAAGAGAGCAGATTTATTTCTGGAGCATCTTTTCTGGTCTTTCTACGGTATCTTCAAAAACGACAACAGTTACTATCAAGAAGTGAAATGGATCATGTGTATGGCAAGTCTCCATTGCCTACTTCCTTGTGCTGAGATGGGTATCAGAGCTTCCAGTG